TTGTAGGTGACTCAGATTGTTATACACTTGGTGAAGGCCAGATGGAACAACAGCCGAAACATTGTTCATAACAACAAAGATGAGCACAATAATAAATATAGTAAATAATGATAACTTCTCATCCCAGAAATTCAAACTGTATAAATATGTATTGAGTTTCTCAAAATAAGTTATAAGTTTTTTCTTTTCTGTATTGATAGAAAGACCACTGAGTGACTAAGATAGTTACATATTTCTCCTCAGAGACTGGGTCACTGTTTAAGCCCAAGTAAAAGCCGTGATTTTAAATGCTGATTTTCAAGGCATAGCAATCCTCCCATTGGTGCAACACAATCTTCTTACCTCTGTTTTTATCTATTTGACCTCATGCCATCTAAGCTAATCAGGTTGTTATTTATTCATACTTTGAAGATTATAAGCAAAATTAATTCAGAAGTCAGCAAATTTTAATGATTCTGTTAAAAACTACTAAATGGTCATCACCTACTTAGTTCAGTCTTGTTGCTAAGAGTTGTGCCACAAGCTGATGTCCAATCTGAAGTATAAGGCAGAATTGTGAAAACCAATTTGCAAGGCAGATATATGTCCACCCCACTTGGAAATTGATTGGTAGACGATTTCCTGGCTCAACATTGTTCTGTGATAATCTCATCTAAAAATTTGTAAATGTATATATTTATGTATCCAAGATGCTATTCAAAAATTGAACAACTGGAATAATGTATGCAAACAAAACAAATAAACTACCCTTTATGAGCAGTATCTTGGCTGAGAGGGTAACACTTCAAAGGAGACATTGTAAACTAAATATTTGAACAATTTACTTTCATGATAAAGTCTGTGAAAGTTTTAGGTTATATTGGTTGATTTTGCTGAATTTCAATCTGATGTAATGGAATAACCTGTCACCCCCATGAGTGACTACACTATAGGTATTCGTAAGGGAATGGACAATGGAGACTAGCTGGGATCTGTTGAGTATGACTCAGACTTAGGCGTGAACTACCGACCTTCCAAGAGCAGCACTCACTACTGGTTTGACTTGCGACAACCTTGTGCATAACTGTTACCTTTATTCTTATTCTACTGGTTATTACAATTTACTTATTTTATCCACTGTGTTTGTCAAGTATATATTCCTTTTAGCATAGAATATAACACAATCCTTGTGTGGATCATTCATTCTCATAGTCAGTCCTTCTTTTTTTTCTTTTTTTTTTTAAGTTTAATTTGATTTTCCGCTCTTCTCTAATCAAGGAGTAAATATGTCTTATATGAATAAATAATATTAAAATTTGGGATAACAACTTGTTTTTATGATATATACATACACACATGAAGAGCTGCTGAAAAGTTCTCAGCTTTCCCTATAAACCTTCCTTCTTCAGGTGCCATGCATGATGCTCACTTAGGCAAACATATCTCTTTTTGATTCCTGATTGACCTGGCAGAATTCAACAGTAGACTGCCGTTACTTTCTGCAGTAGACTGGCTGCCAACCAAGGCTATAGGACTAGGTCTGTCCAGCTATTTTAACCCATAGCTGGGAGGAGATGGATTCCTACTCTGTTTCAAGAGTATTTGCACATAAGTGAATAAACAAAATCACTACTGGGATTTGAACTTGGCTCTCTGATTTCTCATTCCAAGTCATTATCCATTGCATCACCCACACATCCAAGCTTACAGCACCTGGTATCCCTAAACAGTCATCCATGTAGGTACTGATCAGGCTTTATATTGCTTAACTTCAGTGATTGGATGAGAAACAGTTTTTCCATGTGATATGGCTGTAAACTTTCTTATAAGCGCTCCCCCCTTAAAATCTCATGATTGATTAGTTTTTGGGATGAGAATATTTTAGTACCCACTTTATATACACACACGCACACACACACATATATATGAAATGTGAACACATACGTGTGTCTGTGGATATATAGTGTTCTTATATATCTAAAAGGCCATTTTATTTATATCCCCCAATGATAGTACAGGTTTCCTGTGGGGGTTGACTACAGGAAATGAGAAAGATTTAGCCAACCTGCATCCCCTATTCTCTAATCAAATTCAGATTATCTTGGGGGAGAAAGAAATAACAATTTTCCTTACAAAATATCTGACGGTATACTCTCTTCTGTTCTACCTCCTGCTATTCATAAGTGTGTTCATGCATGTCTCTCTTACACAAGGAATTTAGATTCTTTTCAGATTTTACTAACATTGAATAAATGCAATGAACAAAAGAACAGAATATTTACTTTGGCTTAAAAGCCTTTCTTTGTTAAATTCAAACTTGTAACCTTAAGTAGTAATGTCTTTGCTAAATCAAGTACAACATTCAACAAACTTAAACAACCTTTTCAGACATGCACAGTCTCTGCTGCTATAATTCAGCAATTATATTTAATTGTATATGTTTATGCCATATTGAGATTTTTCAAGTGCTGTTGGGTGGCAGGACAAAGTGGTGTCATGTAGTTTTCATAACCTGACTTTTTTAATCCGGCAGTATTCATTCTTTTTAGACAATCTCTCCACTTTTTGATGTTCACAAATTTCACTTCATTTTTTCTTCTCTTCAAAAACATGCACTAAAGAAATTGTTAGCTTGACCTTTGCACTGTCCACAGAAGCTTTGTTGTTAGAATACTGGGTCATGACACTTACAGGAACCACTCAAATGACTTTTATTATAAATGTTATAAGAAACTGTATTATTATTATTATCATCATCATCACCACTCATTTTTTTAATGAGATCTCTTTGTCTGATCTTTTGTTTTTATGAGTCAGAAGAAAAAAAATAATTACTATATTAATTATAAAAGTATACATTGTTATTAAAAATATACAACACATGGCAGAAATAGCTCCTGCATTAAGACATTAGTGGCAATGTTGTCTTCCTCTAGATAATGTCTTACCATTATGTGGGAGCTATTTCTGCCTCACCTCTGTATAATACCTATATAGGTATTTTCATCAAACCAATAAGTACTGTTTATAAATAAAGTCTTAATAAGTTATAAATAAAGTTATAAATAAAAAAAAATATAATAAAGTTATAATAAGTTATAAATAAAATCTTAATAAGTCATGTTTATAAAAATATTATTCACCAATACAAAATAGTAATTTGATTGTTATTAAAGCAGCATTGTATTGTTTTTACACTCCCTTAGTAGTTTCTACTGATTTTGCATTTCGCGCACAATTATTATTGCTTGTTCACTATTTAAAAGTGCAACTTTATAAATAATTTTCCATCTACAAAAAATAGAACTATAACTCAATGGTACATCAGAGAGAAGGACACTAAGAGATCTAAGAATCTACCCAATATGTTTTTTTTTTTTTTTGTTTAATTTCTTACAACAGTGAAATTAATAACAACTGGCTGAGATTGAAAAGCCCTACCTAAAGATTGTACCAAAACATGTTTTCATAGAACTTCTCAATCTAGGCTGTTTCAGAAAAAAAAAAATAAAAATAATAACTTGGATAGCAACTCAAATATATGTACCCACTAAAGGTAATATTTACATTAATGTGAAATAATGTTTAAAAAAAAATATCTATAACAGTGCTTATGAACATTGCAATTTTTATGTTGAGTTTATTTTATTCTATTTATTTTTTTTTTTTAATATTTTTGTATGAGGGTTCATGAAGATCAACACAAATAGGACGCTGTGGAGAGCCATAATCATCCATATTTTTCTTCAGCATTTATAGATAGTGATTAAATTCTGTTGAACTTGTTGATTAATATCATAAAATTCCTTATTTCTCTTAAGTTTATAATAGTTTTTGTCAAAATTCCTCGATCATTTACAGATACATTTTTTTTTCTATTTCATGAAGCAACAGAGTCTTTGGAATTCCACTTAATTCCTTTTTGAAAATGCCATATTCTTTATATTCTATCACCTACTCTGGAAATATTCAAGATAAAATGGATGGTGTTATGTATTAGATTCTTGAAGTCTTGAACATTGTGATTGTGAGAAAACATTAGTTAAAATAGAGAAAAAAAATTAAATAAAAAGAAAATTTGGGAAATTTGATAATCAGAAGAAAAAAAATCTTAGAGGGATATCTTTTTTATTTTTTTAAGAGATTCTGCTGACTTTCAGAAATATTATTTTGAATTGAAATGGAATCAGAAGGAACAATAGTAAAGCTAATCGTGATAGTCATGTGGTTGCAATACACTCAAGTTCATGGTTTTGACAAATCAATATTTTGAGGCATCTTCTACTTGGCTTGTTGTTTCATTTTTATCAGTTTTTTACTTTTGTTTATTTCATTGTATATCATGATATCTTTAAGCTATTAAAAGCAATAGCCCTCAGCTTTGAAGCTTTTAACTTTGTCTGATAACAGAATTCTATTTTCATATATTGACAGGAAAATGTCTGGTCAATAAAGAAATCCCCTGTCACAATGTTAAAATAAATAAATGAATTTCTGTAGTTATATCAGAGATAATTTTCAGTTTTCTTTTGAAAAGAATAAAAGCAGATATTCACATTTAAGTTTTCTGTCAAAAAGGAAAAAAAAAAATTTTTTTTAATTTTAAAAATACAACAAAAGAATTATATAGTATTAACGTGTGCCTTAGATAGTGCTGATTCAATATTGTGCCTTGTGGCTAACTAAAATGAGCACAGCTTTTAATCTCTATATTTACGACAACTAATACATTTGTATACTTACAAAATATCTTACATCACAGTAGTTATTGTAGTTACTACTTTTGGTTAGGAATATTTTATAATTATGATCTTTTTTTTTTTTTTTCTTTTTTTTTAAAGTTTTTTTTTGTCATTACAGGTTAATTACTACACACTTTTTCTTAATTCAGTCTGCAGCATACTAATTTTTTTTTTTTTTTTTAATAAGTCAGAATACCTGTTTCTTAACATAATTTTTATTTGTTCCCTGTGCCAAAATCCAATGTTGGGAAATCCAAAAGCTCTTCTGTATTCTTAGAAATGGCTCCAGGGTAAATGGTGGATGGAGGGTAGAAGTTGCAAAGGAGAAGGAGTTGAATACTTTGGCCCATTCATTGAATCTCAGTGCACATGGTAAAACATAATTCTATTATTATTCCATCAAGCTGTCACAAAATTTTAGGTAGCGCTTAGCTAAGAACCACTTCCTGTTACAAAGCAAAGAAACAAGAGCTAAAATATTGTATTAAGCATTTCAAAATATTTTTTCATAGAAAGATAGATAATAATAGGCAACTTGTTGTCACTTTGTCTCCAATGTAGGCTGCCAGATATGACTGGTGGGGAACATTGAAGGAGTTAAAAATGAAAGAAATCATAATAATAATATATTTTTGGAAAGGAACTTCTGGAAATGTAATTTTTAAGTATTTCTTTTCCTGGTTCTTTGACAGAACACTTGAAAACACAGAATGATTTAAGTAAAAAAAAAAACTTAATTTAAAGAAATGATCAAAGAAAGTTCAAAAGGTGGGCTAATTGATTACATTAAAATTTAATCAGAAGTCATTTTTTATAGCACTAATAGAAATGAGAGAAATGTCTTTTTTTTCTTTCTTTTTTTTCTTGGTGAGACTTTGATTTTTCTTCCTCTTTTTTCATTTTCTTTTTTTCTTAGGTTTCTTTAAAAAAACCCAAAAAAAACAAAAAACTGCTTATTAACTTCTGTAATAACATTTGAAGTTACTTATCTTTTCTACTTTTAACATACTAAAGTGAATTTCAGAAAAAAGTGGTAGAAGTTAAAAATCTTTGCAATAATTATTTTCACTATCATGATTTTCTTTTTTTTTTTTCTTTTTTATTTTAATAAAAACTTAAAACATGACGTGGAGCCAACTTTTTTCCTAGCTTTTCTTAAGAACAAAATAGAAAATGAAACTAAGTAAAAAGACGGACTTGTACAGAGAAAAAGAAAGCACTTGCTGAAAAATCTGAAAAATGTGATTCCGATTTGCAAACTGGCAGGTGGAAAGAGTGTTTTAGTGCATTTAATGAGGTCTTTAAGCAGCTTGTTCAGCTTCAGAGCAGGTACTACTCTTTTACGCACCTGGTCACTGTAAGAGCCAGTTTGTCAAAGTTTACAATGTTCAGAATGAGGTTATTTATGTGTTTTTTTTTCTTTTATGTTGAGATTTAGTGTTGCAATATCAACAAAAGAAGATAAAATGATATCACAGAAGAAAATCAAGACTGAAAGATAAGAAAAGAAGGGTTGATTCCATAAAAAAATCGAGTGTGCCAAATAAAGAGTTACATGCTGTTTTGTTGCATAAGGACAATGTATGCACATGTACCTTATATATATATATATATATATATATATATATATATATATAAAAAATGAGAGAGAAAGATGTGTGTATGTAATCTGAGGGATTGTATATAAACCATGTAGATATGCAGTTTTTAAAAGCAAACATTTCCTACCTGTCCCAGTGCTGAGGGTGAGGGTTTTGCCTGTTTCCTTTGTGCTTGACCGACAGTGTACCTCCCCACCCACGACACAGACTGAAGATGATGACAAGAAGTAGAACAACAACAACAACCACGTTGTTGTTGTTGTCTGTTGAGGTGGTTGTGGTGATGAAGTCGATGGTCGCAGTCTTAATACCGACAACGGCGACAACACTGATGATGATGCTGCTGATCGAAACACTGGCGCCAGGAAGAAGAATATTATTAATAATAATAATGATGATGATAGTGACGGTAATGACGTTGCCAAAGTCGGTACATGCAGCATGAGAATTGGTTTTTATTGTATTTTATCTATATATTCAGATAGCAAAAATTAATAGAATGTGTGTGTTTGTGTGTGTGTGTATATATATATATATAATATGTATGTGTGTGTGTGTGTGTGTATGTATGTGTGTGTCCTTCGTTGGACTGTGCCGTTTCTAAACTACTCATCCGTGCTTCCTTCATCCATTGTAGCTCACCTCCACCACGGGCACTCCCGCCATCTCCCTCTCTTGTTTCCTCCTCCTCCTCCCTTTTTACTTCTTTTGTAGCTGCTGCAGCAGCAGCAGCAGCCCACCGGTTCCACGAGCAAATGGCACCAACCACACCAATCTTGTGTGAGCTTCTCTTCAACTGTTCGATGTGGGTTGCGTTTTCTTTGCCTCGATCACCACCACCACCACCAACAACAACAACGGAGGCAGTAGTGGAGGAGGAAGAGGACGACGGCGAGGAAGCAAGAGTCCATCATACGCTTCTTTCTTTTCTTTTTTCCCTTGCTTTTCAATCATTCGTTCATTTTTCATATTTTTTCATTCATTTGTTTGATTTCTATTCTTTTTCAATTCTGACAATTTTTCTTTACTTTTCCCTTTTCACTTTTTCTTTTTAATTTTTCCGCATTCTCTCTCTCTTTCGGTGACTTATTTTCTTGTAAGAAAAAAAGATATTCCTCCATCTCTGTCTTATCTTCTTCTTCCTTTATTTCTATTTTTTGTTCGCCTCTTTCATTCTTTCTCTACTCTATTTCCTTTCTTTTACTTTTCCCCTTTTATTTACGTTTATCAGATCTCCTTTTTTTTGTTTGTTTCTTTCACCAATCAATCCAGCCACGCGCACCTGGTTTTTTGTTCGCCTTTTTTATTTGTCACCGAACCCCATAATTTTTGTTGGTCAGTTTTTCACAAGGACAAGCAAGACCCCCCCACCAAAAAAAAAACAAAACAAAACACCAGTCAACATACAAAAAAAAAAAAAAAATGGTCTGGGGTTCCAATGAGATGAAAAAAAAATAAATAAAAATAGAAGACGAAAAGAGAGATACAAAGCGACGAAATAATAGCAGTCCGACGAAATTTTTTTGTTGCTCACACAATTTGTTTTTATTTGAAATAAAAAAAGGAAGAAAAATAAGAAGCCGGAAAATAATTAAAAAGGAAGGGTGGGGGGGATAAGAAAAGGTTTAAGTGTCAACTCTCCCCCAGAATGAAATGTCTATGCTTGATGCCGCTTTTCTTCAAGTGCTTTTCTATCCATGGTCAATTGGAGTTTTCGTTTGAATTTTTTTTTATCCATTCTATTTTTTCTACCTGTTCAGCATGATAGAGAGTCGATTTGCGCGTGGATGTGTTTGTTATGGGAAAATTTATTAAAGTAAATAGCCAGGCAGACACGCACATGTTAGAGGTGAAATGTTTTTTTTTTCCGTTTACGTTTTGTTTTTTTTTGTCTTTTTTTTAGTCTCCACCAGCAAAACCTTCCAAGTGGGTTTATGTGTAATATTCAGGATACGCGATATAATGTTTATAGTGACGTGTGTGTGTTTATTGACATTTAAATTTATCTGTAACCTACAAAAATTCTTTTTTTTTCTTCTTTTTTTTTTTTTTTTTTTTTTTTTTTTTTTTTTTTTTTTTTTACAGTTTTTAGTGTTACGCGTTAATTTTCGGATTTTGTTTTTTTTTACACAATCTTGAGTACAGTATTGAAAATAGTATGTGTGGCTAGTAATTTAAAAAATGTTCCTTTTTTTTCTTTTCTTTTTTTTTTAATTTAAAAAAAAATGTATGTTCTTAATGAGCATTTTATTATTATTTTTTTTTTTTTTTTTTTTTTTTTTAAATGTTTCGTTTCTCAAATCAAGTCAAAACAAAAAAACGTTCACAATCGCTCTACCGTCGATAAGACTGAATAGAAAAAGTTGAAAACTGAGGAGGAAGGAAAAGCGAGAAAGAATAAAAACATAAAATAAAAAAAAAAACTCTTTCAAATATAGAAACCAAAAAAATTTTCTCTTCTCTTTTTGGAGTCTAATACATCACATCAATATTTTATTGAATCATGTGGTGTGGGGCATAATAAAAGTTGTAGTATTCATAAATGTATGAGGTGTATGTTTTTTTGTTTTTTTTTCTCCCCGTGACCCATTGGGATGTTGGAGAGCCACATGTACTGCAGCCACAGTAGAAGTAGTGTTTCTTGGGCAAGATAGCCTGACGGAGCCCAACCCTCTCCAGGCAAGTTTTGAATTCAGAGTTTTCCTTCTAGACCGCATATCACCTAAGGCTACAGAACCTAGTTTGTTCTGCTATTTACACATAATGGGGGTTGGGGAGGAGAAGAGGATTCACACCTTTCCCAAGAGTATTTGCATGTAAGTGATTGTAATGTACCCAACTGGAATTAGAACTCAATCCTCCAGCTTCTCATTCCAAGCCATTATCCATTGCATCACATAGCACATCGCACAAATAGTAGACTTATAAATATGTAAGATAGATTCAGGTGAGTAAAATTGTCCAGCATAACACAGTGAATCAATTTTCCTAGCAGCAGACCTAGCAATTAATTCATTATAATATTTTCATTTCATATCAGGAGTATATATATATATATATATATATATATATACACACACACACAGACAGAGTTGTATGGATATTAGTTTGATACCCTGCGTTTCATGATTTTGTGATCATCAGACAAATCAGTTTATTTTTTTAAAAAGTGGATCTATTTATGCTTATTTGTGTTTGATTATTTGTGTGTGATGGAGGAGGGGGAAATATGTTAGCTCTGTCACAGAAGCACTTTCCACTAAGTACAGTGCATATAAAAATAAATATAAAAATTGTATAAGCATAAAAAAAATGAAAATATCAAGATTCATATCAGTCCATTGTTCTGTTGTGAATATCTGATGAAAGTAGAGCTGCCTTATTTTGTCAGAGTAAAATAAGTGGGGAGCAATAAAAGGCCAAAACCCAAATTAACACCTCAAAATTTTAGTGGGTGATTTACATGCCAGCTCTTAAGGTACATGGTGAGATGGGTAAATTGTCGTCATTTTATATTTTTAATTTTGTGCAGGTGCATTTTTTTGTTGGGGGGAGGGTTTATTGACTGCACAGTATGGTAGGGTCAGTTGGGAACCATTTGTGATAAAAAGAGCAACATAATGCAATTCACTCCACCAGAAATTTGGAAACAGCATGCTGTACTACTTGGCATTCGAGCCAGAAAATCCAATATGAACAATGCAGAGAATTCGAAAAGAGTTGGATGAGCATTATGGTGTGGCAACTCGGAAAATTCACACTGATCAGAAAAGAACTCCTGAATTTGTTGGTGAGGGCCACAGACTCAACATGTAGTCCTAAATAAAGTGCCTTGAGAAAGTAGTTCTTCCCTGCGATAAGAAGGTGGTTGCTGAAAGACTATGTCTAACAACAGGACGCTGCACCATGTCACAAGCAGGAGAACCCAATCATGGCTGTCAGACAATTTCTGTGACCACATCACCTCTAACATCTGACCACCTAACTCTCCAGACTGTAACCCCTTTGATTGTTATGTGTGAGGGGCAGTTGAGCAAGAGACCAGCAAAACTCTTTGTAACACCAAAGATGAACGGAATGCAAGGATTATGGCAGCATTCACCAACTTAAACAAGGAGACCATCCAGAAGAGTTGCAGGAGATTCTGAAGTCATCTGGAGGCCATGGTTGAAACCAATGGTGATTTTATTGAATAAATTTACTCTTTAGTATTGAAAGATAATTTTGGTAAATATATGTGTTAAAATGAGATGTTAGTGTTATTTTCATTTTTGCGTAATTTAGTTTGCATCCTGTATGTGTATTTGCACATGCTCACTCACACACACTATCAAGATGACCTACATTAATTTACTGTTCACATGACTGAAAAATGTAAATAAACTTAAGAAGTTTTAGTGTCAAACAATGATTTGATCAATCACTTTTTCAGTGTAAATTTACAATTTACATTTCAAGATGTTCCCATTTCTTCATGTAATTTTTGCTGCTGGTTAGAAAGATAAACAACCTCAGAACAAAATCTAAACAAGTCTCAATCAGTATTTTGAGTTCTTAATATATCTAAATTGAATATTTGATTAGCTTTGAGCTCCTGGGGTCCCATAAATTATTCTGTATTCATCTGGCATTCTAACCATTTCAGCTGTAAACCCTCCTCTTTGTCTAGTGTGACATTACATCTCTAATGATTTTGATATTTACTTCTTGATAAAAATAACATCTCTATCTCATGAGAAATTTAGGCCCAAGTGCTACTGAAGTCATTGGTCAAATCAAAAAGGGTATTGAGGGCAAATTCTGATGTTTAGTCATTTCATCAGATTTTGGGAAGTTAGTCAGACGGAAAACTTTTCAGTATCATGTGACCCTCCACCACATATATAAGCATTGTATAACTTAATGTTTTTTTTAAATTTGTGTTTGAATTATTTAGATGAATAATGTTCTTGTAGATAATCAATATTAAAAATATATATATGAATATATATATATATATATATATATATATATAAATTTTTTTTTTTTTTTTTTCCAAGCATTTCACCCCATGCAAGAGCTTACAGAGAGTGGGAGCAAGAGTAAAGAGGCATGATAGAGGAGATGAGAAAGAGAAGGACGGGGGATAGATCAAGGCATCTGGAGATGTCAATTGACATTAGATTTGAATATTTAGAGGTTATAGCTATCAGAGAAGCAAGCAAGAGGAAGGGAGTTCCACAGACGGGAGGTATGAGACATGAAGCTATAGGAGTAGAAGAGGCAACTACATTTAACTGTTTTGACAATGAAAGGGTGGGACTGAGATGCCAACTTAGTAGCACATTTAAATTCATGTAGTTTGGGAACCAGCGAATATAGCTCATTGGAACAGTTACCATGAAATTTGTAGAAAAGACAGGGAAACAATGGCATGTCTGTGAGAGAGTGACTGTAAATGAGATTACAAATCAGGGCCAATCACATTGCAGATCTGTCTCTGGATTTAGTCAAGAACCTTAAGAAGAACAGCAGGGAGCTCCAGACCATATATGGCAGCAGTATTCCATGTAAGAAGATTCCTCAACAGAATGCAAAAAGAACTGAATGGCCATTTCGTCCTATTTTTGGGACTCACCAGCAGTGTGTATCCACTACCAAGAGGCCTGTTGGTACAATTTGTATGACGCTTGTGTTGTATTGAAATGATACAGTTTTGAATCTCGTCAGTGGATGTGCACTGTTGATGAGTTCAAAAAATAGGACAAAATGGCTGTCCAGTGCTTTCTGCATTCTGTTGAGGATGCTTCTAAACTCAATGAATTACTATAATGATTTACCTAAATCCCCAAAATTCCATTACTTGTATATCCTTGCTTGACCCAGCTAATGCTCTGTGATGAAGCAGTTCAGGGTAAGGAAAGACGTGTCTCTTGAGGTACAATCTGTTGGGTTATGAATACTTGGATGAGTATCACCATGGAATTTGCAAGTAGCAGCGCTATATCAAGTGTATTCAATTTTTTCTTTATCATCAAGACCTGTTGGTACAGTCGGTATGATGCTTGCGTTGTAT